CTCTTTGTCTGACATAGTGGCAGTGGCAATTCCTATCACAATGATCACTTGTTCTGATCCTACTCTTATCTCCTCCTACACACCCAGGTAATTTACCTCTGATAGGGCATCATTAGTTGGCATATCAAAAGCACAAGATTTGAAACCTGGTAGAATGCCATTATGGGGTGGTGACGTTTGGGTGGAAATCAAGGGAGGTGTCTAATTCTTACGGGGTGAGTGTATGGAAAGGAATAATAGGGTTCAATTGGGAGTTCAGGAGTTTGGTTTGATTCAATGTTGGAGATGGTGCTAGAGATTCTGGGAGGATGATTGGAGTGGAGTTGGGAAGCTGTGTGAGGCTTGCCCGAGGTTATACAGGCTGTTGAGCATCAACTAAGGATTGATCAATGCTATGAAGTCAGTGGTGAGAAGGTGATTTGGTGCCCAAAGTTTAGAAGACCACTGCAGGGATCAAGAAATGGAGGAATGCATTCTGTTGCTGGAAAATTCTCAGTAAAGTCCTACTTGGCCCTTATCAAAGACCATCAGATCATAGAACAGGCAGAAGGAATGTGGGGGAATCCAGCCCCATCAAGGGTGGAAGATTTTGTGTGGTTGGCCTCCTTGGATAGTATCTAAGTTGCAGACCACTTGAAGATTAGAAGCATCAGCATGATGAGCTTTTGCTATATGTTCAAGATGGAAGAGGAGTCAGTGTACCACTTATTTTTCTCATGCAAGGTTGCCAATTTCATTTGGAAGATTTACTCTGTGCTCTTCGGTGTTAGTCTTTCAGCCAAGTTCCACTACTGAAATCTTTTCATGTTGGCCAAGATTTAGAGGGAGCAATAAGGCTAGGATAGTCTGGAGCTGCATACCTTTTGCAGTGTGTTGGGCTATCTGGAATAAAAGGAACAGAATGTTATTTAATAACAAGTCCAAGAGCATTGAGATGCTAGTTGCTTCAGTCGGTAGACTAGTGACTGATTGGGTATGGATCCTCCATGTTTTGCTTAAATCAATAGAGCAGATTTGGGGGAGAGCTTCTGGGATGTGCTTGAAATTCAAGCTTGTAATGCTGAAAGTTTTTTTGTGGCTTAGTGATCTATTGGTGTGTCTCTCGGACACCCATTGGGATTGTAATGTTCTTTTTCCTTTTTAATGAAATATTTTATCTTTATTCTTCAAAAAAAAAAAAAGAATACCATTATCAAGTCTAAGGATCATATGCAACAATCCAAATGCTCCACCAGTCATTAAATCTAGGATCCATCTGAAAGTGGTCTAGTTCAGTTTTTTCTAAACACCCATGCTTGTGTCTTGAGTCATCACTTTGGCAGTAGAGACTGACTGCCCTTTCTCACAAAGCAGTTCTTGCATGTCAACCTTTTCAGGATGAATAACCCATGCTTATCCATTGGTTGGGAATAGTTTAGTCTGCATACTGATTGTGTTGGTCTCAATCATTTCTATGATTAATATAATCCTAAAATGTAGATCAAGGGTTACTAGGAATGGCAACAAGGTGGGGTGGGGCCAGGTTTTGCATACCCTGTCTCTGACCCCAAACTCAAATACCCTCCCCTTCCCTGCCCCATACCCCAATGGGGCTAGAAATCCCAACCCCATCCCTGACCCGTGGAGAATGGGGATCCCCAAATTTGCCCTGCCCCACCGTTGTCATTTTTAATCGGGGCAGGTTCGGGGCCGGGGTTGGGACAAGGTGGACAAATACCACCCTTCCCCATCCCCAGTAACTAGAGTTTCAGGTTTCCCTGAAACCAGCTCCAAACCCAATCAATGGTCAAGAAAGCCACCCTGACTGGGGTGGGTGGGTCAATTTGCTATCTCTAAGGAGCAAGGATTAGCTGAATGTGATGGCTATTCAGCAGGCTGTGGAACCAATGATAATGTTCCATGCCAGTAATAAAATACATGGGACCCGCACCTTTCATAGTGGAACATTTTCATTGGTTCCACAGCTCACTGAACAGACATCACGTTCAGCTAATCTGAATTCTTCTCTAAGGGCTATCATAGAAACACACACCCAATGAAACATGTGATTGTAAATGAAATTGTTCTTTTATTCCTAATAAAAGCAGTGTTTTAAAAGCGCAAGGAGCAAAAAAAGCGCAAGGGCCAATTTGTGCCTGAGGTGCAAGGCGTAAGGCAAGGCGCACGCCTTTTTAAGAAAGGCACAAAATTACAAAAAAAGCTAAAAAATAAAAAAAGTCAGAAAATTAAAAAAATGCCAAAAAATTAAAAAAATGCAAAAAATAAAAAAATATTAAACATAATGTTAATAAAAAATATAAACTTAAATTTGAAAATAAATGTTTTAGAAAACCTATTATCTAAAATTAAAATACATAAACATAACATGTAAAGCGTATTCAAATGAAAATTTAAAAATAAAAGCAAACATATAAAGCATTTTCAAGCATGTAAAACCCATAATCTCTTTTTTTCCTTAATTGCATTGCTTCAAGTAGCTAACGTGATGTAAAACATATTGAATTCTTGATTCTATGAGTTACCTTTGTACCACGCCCATTTAGGCAAGCCTGAACAAGTCTATGTTAGGGTCTGAAATTCTTGTTTCTCACATAAAAAATAATGATTTTATAACTTTCATTGCCTTTTAAGAAGATATATTATTGCGATGAATGAATGAACAACATTAGCAAACAGGGGGTTCTCGAATAATGTTGTTCATTATAAAAATAATGATTTTATAACTTTCATGTTAGGGTCTGATATTTTATTGCTAATGTTCATTCATTCATTGCAATAAACTATCTTCTTGAAAGGCAATGGTTATAAAATCATTATTTTTTATGTGAGAAATAAGAATTTTGGACCATAACATAGACTTGTTTAGGCTTGCTTCGAGGGGCATGATCGGGGGTTCGGGGGCGGAGCCCCCGACTCAGCAATTAGACTCAAAAAAAGCAAAAAGTGCAAAATTTTAAGAAGGTGCACGCCTGGGATGAGGCACAAGGCGCATCAGATGCATGCCTGGGTGTGCCTAGGACTTGGGCGAGGCGCATACCCCAAAATGCGCCTCAACTGTGCGCCTAGGCGTGCCTTAGGCACACCTTTTAAATCACTGAATAAAAGTAATGTACATCAGTGCATATCATATTGGATCTAGTCTTTTAAAAGTGCAAGGGGCAATTTGTGCCTGGGGTGCAAGGTGCAAGGCAAGACAAGACATGCCTTTTTGAAGCAAGGCGCGAAAATACAAAAAAATGCCAAAGAAATAAAAGAAATGTCAGAAAATTCAAAACAATGCCAAAAAATTAAAAAAAATTGCAAAAAAAATATTAATAAAAAATATAAACTTAGATTTTAAAATAAATGTTTTAAAAAAGCTATTATCTAAAATTAAAATACATAAACACAACATGTAAAGTGTATTCAAATGAAAATTTAAAAATAAAATCAAACATATAAAACATTTTCAAGCATGTAAAATCCACAATCTCTTTTTTTGCTCAATTGCATTACTTCAAGTAGCTAATGTGATGTAAAACATATTGCATTCCTGATTCTACGAGCCACCTTTGTACCAAGCCCCTCGAGGTCAAGGAAAGCCCAAACAAGTCCATGTTAGGGTCTTAAAGGCAATTAAAATTATAAAATTGCTGCCTCAGGTCGTCAGGTGTGCCTTTTTAAATCGCTGATTGGATCCTGAGGTCATAAACTACCCAATAGGCTGAATCATGTCTACTTCTCTCAGATCTCCATTTAAGAAGGCATTTTTGAGTCCAACTAATGGAGATGCCACTCAAAATTTGCAGCAAGAGATGATAGAGCTATTATGGAGTTCATCATAGCAATAGGTGCACATGAGAGTCATTGTAATCCACCCTATACATTTGAGAGAAGCCCTTTGCAACAAGTCTAGCTTTGTATCTCTCTATAGATTTATAGTTCAATTTTAACAGAAAAGACCTACTTGCACCCCACCGGTTTCTTTCTCTCAAGAAGATCCACTAGTTCCCTTATATGATTTTTATGTAGGGCTCTAATTTCTTCTAACATAGCGCTATTCTGCTCAGGTATCTGCTTAGCCTTTGCAACCTTTTTGGGAATAGAAGCAGTACAAATGACAGAAAAAAAGTTACAATAGGATGGGGACAATTTATTGCAAGTGGCAAAATTAGCAATGGGCTGTCTAGTACAGGAGCAAGACACTGTTGAGTCTCCTTCTCTGGGTTGCAGAGGAATTGTTCTGGCAAGGGTGAACTCACAGGAATGGTTGTGGTAAATCCTATCCCCAGGACACATCACCGTTGAGTCTCCTTCCTCTGGGCCGGACAGTGTCTCTTCGTTGCTTGTCTAGGATTGGCCTCTGGCTGCTGGGATATAGTCTGCATCTTGGTCTGATGGCAATAAAGGGTTCATGGTCCCATCTTCTGGAAAGCTCTTTCATTATCAGATTTTCTCATCTTCTGCAATATGGAGTTGGTTCCTTTTGTTTAATTTTATTAATAAAGTTTAATTTATACTCAAAGGAGAAAGTAATATCTGATCCCATGCATCTTTGAGATTTAAGACAACATAATACATTTACTATTGCTCGATGGAAAAGGTTTTCTCAACACAGATAGCATGGCTGATTCATGTCACTGATTGCTGATGTCTTTGCGCATAGTAACTGAACCTTTTCATCTGCTCATAGTAGTTAACTTTTGGTTTGATTTTGTATATATCCGTTTTCCCTTAACTTTATTGTAATAATTTAATAAGAAGGCCTGGAAAGTCTTTCAATACTTGTTGCCTTTCTATATGTTGGATCATTCCTTAGAGGTCACACCTTTTCTGGTTATGCAGTTAAGAGGTGTCTGATTATGTGATACATTTTCTCCTTTTATCAAACCTGTTTTGAAGTTCTTGTGTAGGAATAAGAAAAAGGAATGAAGGAAAAAGAAAAGAAAACAAAGATGCTGAATTAATGTAGTGTTTGTCCTAATGTCTGATGGTTTTGATTCTTTTGTATTCTTTTGCAGGACAATGCAAGTGCTTTAAAGGCTCAGCTTGATCAGCAGAGGAATGTTGTTGAAAATCTTGTCTCAAATACTCGGGTATGCTATTAATTTTCTTTTATACCCCACAACCTTTTCATCTCCTTAGGGGTTATTTCTTGGTCTAATGCTAAAATCTCTGGCTGACAAGCGTGAGAAGTGGGTTCAAGTCTGAGAGTGGCCACTTTGTGCAAAAAATTGCCAAGGTTAGGTCTGTATTGAGTCTACCCCTCCCAAGATCCCAGATGGCTGGGATCAATATTGGGGTTCATGTCCTTAAACACAAAGTACTGTTACATCTCTATTAAAATTGTTTCTTTTATTTTTTCTTTCTCCAATGTCGGTTTGAGAAGAATTTCTTTGAAATAATTCAGTTTCTTTCTCCAATGTCAGTTTTTTTTTTGATTTGTAGAGATCTTTGAAATAATTTCTTTCTGGGTTGTCCTTTTGTCTTTCCATCAATGCTAGTAAACCAGTTTATGTGACTCTCGGATGCTTCTTCCTACAGACATGGTGTGGAACAATCAAAAGGCAAACTACAAAATAAAGTTGGCGTGTCTTTTAATGGTTTCCATCTTGTCTATAGGGAAAGAAATCCAAGTGTTACATAAAGTAATTATTTACTAGCATTTCTCTTGTCTGTCATGTACCCAGCCTTTAGAAACTCCTCAAAGTATAGATGCCAACTTTGTTCAGGCCATGCAGCCCTTACGAAGTTTTGTAACTAGCTAATGCAGTCACAGTTTCATCCTTCACTCCCCAAACCTCGCATTGGCGGGAGCCTTGTGCACTGGCTGCCCTTATGAAAGTGTGGCACTTAGTAGATCTAGATACTTGAGGTGTAAGCCTTGAGGCCTTGGGATTTGTAGTTTAAGCCTCATTATCTCTCTCTCTCTCTCATTATATATATATATATATAAGTTGAGGTGTACTTGTGTAGAGATCTTTTGACAAGTTAAAAAGAAATGATCAATAAATAAATACCAATTAAGCAGGCAGGATTCATCTTTCTCATTGATTTGCATTTGGGAAATAAATTTATTTTATTACCAATTTTCTTAATAAAATTTATTAACAAAAAAAGAAGATTACAAGGAAGGTGATCAGAAGTCAAAAAAGACAAAAACTTCCGAAACAAACTCCAAATCAAACAAACCAACTAAAAATGAAGAAAAACAGACCACCAAACATCCAACTCATTGAACAGAGAATAACAACCAAAACAGAACCCCCAAAACCAACAAACCAAAACCACTCACAAATCCACACCAAGTTCCAAAGAGGAAACAAACAGAAACAAATGACCTCTCTAGTTCTTCTTTAGGCCTTTCTTTGGTTTCATCATTTTTTTTGTTTAGACCAATCCTAAATAAACCCCACTTCAGTCTAGCAAAAACTTTTGAGACCAACAGATTTAGAGGTTTTCTCTGATTTCTGAATTTTCTCACTGCAAGAGAATTCCTTCTGAGAATCTTCAACTCCTTTGGTGTTTCATTAATCCTCTCCATCTCCAACACTGAGTTCTTTTCAAAAAATTGGTCTTCAATGACTCAACACCCTCTTCAATGACAACCCCTTTCTGACCAGAAGAATTATGACCACCAAAGAAGTGGTGTAAATGTATGTTACCTGTACAATTAGTGCTGCATGCAAAGGGGTCAAAATTTCAGTCTATTATGATTTTAATTTAGCTGTGTATACAATGAATTAAAATTAAAAAAGAAGAATCATTTTGGGGGTTGCGTGGAAGTTGAGATAATTATGCTCCTATGATTCTAAAACAACCTTTATGCCTAATTATGTAGGACAAGGTTCAAAGTATCAATATGCCTCTGTAGGAATGGCAACGGGGCGGGGATCATATTCCCTGTCCCCGCCCCCGATTCTGAAATTAACCCCCATCCCCGTCCCCGATCCCCATTGGGGATAAAATTTCTCCTCCACCCTCGATCCTCGACGGGGATGGGTTCCCCGCGGGGACCCGAATCCTCGAAATATTTTTAGATAATAGTATTTTTTTTTGAAAAATAAATTTACTTAAAATAAATAAAAATTTTAAATTATAAATAATGTTTTAAATATGTTTTAATATATATATATATATATGTAAATAATATAAAATAATATATGTTTAATATAAATAACACACACACACACACATATATATATATATATAATCGGGGTCGGGGACCTCAATCCCCATTCCCGACCCCAATCCCGATCGGGGATTCCTATTAATCTTCGTCCCCGACCCCATCGGGTCGGGGAAGTCGGGTCCCCATCGGGGATGGGGAAAATTGCCATCCCTATGCCCCCTGAATCGGTAGAGGCGTATTGGTACTTAGAAACTCATGCTTTTATATATATTTTTTCAAAAGTTGTTTTTTTGGGACTTATTTATGCATATTTTTTATTAAAAAAAGAGAGGAGTCCCGAAACACCTGTAAACAGGTGTATCGGAACCCCAAAGATACGATACAATATGCCTGATATGGGGCATATCGTATCAAAATTTTGAACCTTGATGTAGAATAATAGGTTTATATTAATTTTGGACAGAAGAATTAATTTTCAAGATGACAGAGATTCAATATTAACAATCCCCTTTCCCAAATGCAAGGCTCAACCCAATAAATCAAAACAAAAATTGTTGGTTCCCTCCCAAATTTGATTAATGTATTTTATGTTTTTTTTTTTTTTTACAATTTCTGTATGTTTGTTGTGGTTTCAATCTTCTCTTCATTCTTGCAATAGTCTTTTTATTTTGTTACTTTGGTTTCTGGTTTTCTGCAGCTTTTGGAGAGTAAGATACAGGAAGCTAAGTCAAAGAAAGATACTCTCAAAGCACGTGCTCAGTCAGCAAAGTTAGTCCAGAACACCCTTTTTATTTTCACCGTCTCTGTTTACATTAACCATGTGAACTTGATCTCAATGTCAAATTTTATGTTGTTCTAGGACTGCAACGAAAGTGAATGAGATGTTAGGGAATGTTAATACAAGTAGCGCTCTTTCAGCTTTTGAAAAAATGGAGGAAAAGGGTATGAATATTTGGCCTATGCTTTATTTCTGAGCAGTCAATTATCATATTTCATGCATTGTCTATGGTTCTGGAAAGAGGTGTAATCATTGGGCTTCTATTATAAATGGCAGTCAGCTCATATTCTTTCAGCAGGCACATGTGACATTTTTTTGAGAAAAGATAACAGATTTCATTAAGATAAAAAAAGGGGGAGGGATGTACATGAGGAGATGTACAAAGCCTTGTCAACAAAGAACAAAAGACAAAGCCCACTGCAATGGCAAAGTATGATGACTATACAAAAAATCCCTTCCCAGCCCAGATTTAGCTAGATTATCAGCCACATGGTTTAATTCTCTAGGAATCCATCTGAATCTGCATTCTAAGTAGGAGGCCATCTTCCTGATTTCTAACAGCAAATGAGATAGTTTCCACGGATCCAAAGTCTGTCCTGAAGCCCAGCTTATAATGATGATACTTCTTGGATAATATATACTCTCAAAGCCACAACCAGTTGACTATAATAATCTATTTTTACCTTTTGCTTTTGGACTTGCCCCTGTTATTTGATGATAAAGATCATCTAGTTATTGTTGGCTTTGGAGCGTGGTACCTTGTCACTGTGGTGATGAGGTTACAGGCCCATTTTATGTTTAAGACATGGTGGAGTCATGCTAGAGGGTAGGCCTTGGTGCAACGGTTGGGTTACCCCATAGTGACCTGGGTGACCAGGGTTGTGTACATCTGTCCCTCCCCAGACCCCGCATTGGCAGCGGCCTGGTGCACTGGGCTGCATTTTACATGGTAGGGTCATGCTACTGACTCATTTTCTTACAAATATTTTTCCATAGGTATCTAATTAACAAAAAGAGAATTTATGCATATGATACAGTTTATTCATTAGTCAGCATTGCTGTCAAGGCACCAAAGCATAGCTCGCTGACAGGGGAGTGCCATGTCACCTAGGTGATGGATTTTTTTTTTTTTTAATAAAAACCTAAATCCTAGGGTAATTTCCATTGGTTTCATGGAAAATCAACATACTCATGAGAAGAAAGAAAAGAAAAACTCAGAAAATATAGGGGTTGAACCCTTGATTTTGTCCTAGGAAAAAAAGAAAAGAAAGGGGTGGTGAAGCAGAAGAAGATTGTCTTAGAAAAAGTAATGGAAAGACTTCCAAAATAAAAAGGAGAATGGGTGGAATCCTTGTTTTTGTCCAAAGAAAAGAAGAAAAGAAAGGGGCAGAAGAAAAGAAGACATACCTTTGTTCTTCTCATGATATAAATCTTCAAGTTCTTGCTTGTTTATCAGTTAAGGTTTTGAAGCACCCACCAACTTGTGCGTTGTAGGTTTGTCAATGATACCGGAAAATTTGTGGCCCGATCTGGCATCTGATCCTATTATCTCGGATTTGGATGATGTCTTGTAATCAGATCAGATTTGGATTTTGCAATCTGCATCTGATTAATAATCAGATCGGATTCGGATTTGATTCCATCCAATCCGATTAAAATCCGATCCGATTATATTATAATTTTATTGATTTTTATATATAAATTTTATATAATTATATTTAAAATATAAAAAATATATTTTTATATATGAATTGATACGTTTAATAAATTCAGTATATTATATTTACATTAATTTATTATACATAAAAGTTGAAAAGTAATTAACTTTTGATTTTTTTGTTTGTATTTTAAAAAATTAAAGCAGAGCCAGATTAAATCCAAATCCAACCTGATTCTATTAGAATTCGAATTCGAATCTGAGGTCTTCAAATCTGATCGGGTTTTGGATAGGACTTGGATGCAAGTTTTCAACAATTGGACCGGATTCAGATTTTGCAGAATTCAATCCGAACCCAATCCAATTACAGCCCTAGTGTGTTGTGATTGAACTTGAAAATATAATAAAATAATAAAAAGAAACTAATATATGAATTTTGGAGAAGAGAAGTGACAATGGAGATGACCCTAGAAGTGTTAAATTTTTTTAATGTAAAAGATTGTTTTGGATATTGAGAAGGCGACACCAATGGCAGAGGGCGATTGTGTTTGCTCAAAATCTCTCCCCATGGCTGAGGTAAGCGAATTGAAATAGCCAGGTAGAGAAGAATAAGGATACAAGGGCTGGTGAGTTAGGTGGTAAGGTGGGACAATGGCCAGAAGAGGAGTTATAGGGAGGTTGTAGGGGAAGGGTTGTGGCCGCAAGAAGGCAAATGAGAAGTAAAGGTGGCCAAGAAAACCATTTATGTGGTCATTGATAGGTCAGAAAATTTTCAAGAAAGTTTTACTTGAAGTGATGCTTGATTGGAAGATTTGAAGGCAACCCTTCATTGTACCTGGTTGAACTTTGGGAGTGAATTGAGAAGAAACTGGGGATTGATTTTACCATCAGAAGTGAACAAACTTCCTAGTTCCTAACATTATGTACCTTTTACTTATATTGTCAGAGTAGGAGATTGAGAGGGTTATGAAGGAATGAGTGCACAACATTATGATAAGAGAGTCCAAATTTGGATCGACTGATGGCATTAGAGTGTAGGCACCACAATGAAGAAGATTGGGATATGCCAACTCTCTAGCATAGTATTCAAGGCACCAAGGTGAGGCTAGGCAACATGGGGGCGCCTCATTGCCTAGTTGCCTAGGTGATGGACTTTTTTAAGTAAAAAAGCATATATCCTAGGTTAGTTCCCTAGGTTCCATAGCCATATTTCCTTAATAATTATCCATAATTTTCATAAGAAAAGTATAAATTTCATGTTGAAGTATAGAAAATCAACATATTCAAAAAATATAGGGGCTGAACCCCTATTTTTGTTATAGGAAAAGAAGAAAAGAAAAGATGGATGGAAGAAAATGTGTTGATTAGAAAAAAAAATTTAAGTTCTTCATTACTTATTGGTTCATGTTTTGAAGTCTTTGAGGGTTCAATATTGCACTTAGCAATGTCTGTGTTGATTAAATCATAACAAATAAGAAAATAATAAAAATAAATTAGTATATAAACACACAAAATGAATACTTTAGTTTAATAATATCTATTTTATAATTATAATCTCAAAAAATTAAGAATATAAAAGTATTTTATGACATAATATACAAAACTGCTTGGCAATTAGGCGAGGTGAGCCTCCAAGGGCACCTTGTTACCTAGGCATCACCTTGACAACTATGGGGTATGACTGCAAGAGAAGAAGAGAAGAGAGAAGGGGAAGGAGAAGAGTCAATCATACTCTCTCTCCATCCCCAAATACTTTTATTAAACCTGATTAGAATAGTTGGGGTAATTACATGAATACCCTTGGGTAGGGCGACTACTTAAAAACTTAAAGAAAAAAAGATCAATAGGCCCATTAACACAAAAAATAATAAACATTAGGCTGAAATAAACTACGGTCCATCTGGCCCAATATTTCTACAGGAAGATTAAGGAACCAAAGTCTGAAGTGTTGAATATGACAAATGGAGCCAGGAGAACAGTATTGGTGATGTCATGGCTTCTAGTGTGTATGCTGCCCCAAGTGAAGAAATTTCACGAGGGCTGATACAGCTTATGAGATCTGGGAGCAAGCAGAATAAAGGTGATCTTTGTTGTATTTTGTTTCTGATCTATGACAGAGAGCATGGCACCAGAACAAAGGTGAACTGTCAGATCAGATGCCTCTTCCTATCTTATTCTTATTTCTTTGTTCTTGCTTGTTCAGAACTATAACCTCAACGAACCAACCACAGAAGAAACCTTATTTTTATTCTTGTTTTGATGTTTTAGTTTTCTTTTTCTTGGTCAAAATGACCAAGATTTATTCTTTGTGAGAGGGCCGAACTTCCTCTATTTTTCACACAAGGGCTTGTACTATTCAGATTTGTGGGAGTGGATTGTGAGGTTCAAGTTTTCTTTTTCAGATCTGAGTGTAAAGATCTTGTAAACGGCCTCTCTGTGTCTGCAGGGATAAGGCTGTGTGCATCTGTTGCTCTGCAGATCCCGCATTGGCGGGAGCCTTGTGCACTGGGCTGTCCTTTTATTTGAGCATAAAGATCTAAACATAGCAGGTATACCAGATTTATGAAGATCAGATCTGGACACTATTCTAGAAAAATCTTATCTATACATATCATTCCAGATTTTCTTTTTTTTTTGGTAGAAATATCATTCCAGATTTTCATATGCCATGTTTTTCCCCTTTCCTGGATTGGTTATGAATTGTGAAGCAAGGACAGGTTTGCATAATGCTGTTTGTTGTAAGAATATTATTGCCGATTGCAGGCAATATAATGATCTACTCAAATCAAAGATCAATTTAGTAGGAAATCAGAAATAGAAGAAAAAGGATTGAAGAAGCGCAGAGAATAGAAGGGATAAGAGAGAATGAAAAGCAATAAAAAGAAGGGGGAGCCAAAAACTTTGCAGGTGCCCCTTAGCATTAGTATTTATAATTAGTGATAAGATTTGTACAATGACAGTCATGCCCCTATAATAGGGAAGCAGGTAATAAGTAAATAAAAGAATATGGGCCTGGGCCCAATAACAAAGCACAATAAAAGTTATAAAAAAATAACAAAACAAATAAAAAATATTAACATAAAAGCCTGAAGGGTGGAAATGTAGATGGTGCCACAGCATGTCAACACTCCCTCAAATTGGTAATGGATGTTGATCATTCCCAACTTGCATAAGTCGTGCTCCAGCTTAGTTTTAGCAACTCCTTTAGTAAATATGTCTGCGAACTGTATTTTAGATTAGATGTAGTGTAAACACACTTTGCCTGAAGACACCCTCTTCCTAATGAAGTATCTATCAACTTCAATATTTTTAGTCCTATCATGCTGGACTGGAATATGAGCAATGTTGGTGGCCTGATTATCATAGTATAACATCAAGGGCTGTTCTACCTCAATCTCAAGTTGTCCAAGTAGAAAATGAAGCCAAAGTAACTCTGACACACCATGATCCATTGACCTGTACTTGGCTTCTACACTTGACTAGGCCACCGTTGCTTCTTGCTTTTCCAAGACACCAAATTCTGACCAAGAGTGTAAATTCCAGATGTAGAGCATCTATCATCTAAGGAGCCTTCCCAATCTACATCTATATAAGCCTCAAATTTCATGTGTCATAATTAGAAACAATGAATCTCCACCATGATGCTTCTTAGGGTAAGCATCCTGTCAATATCTACCCAATGTGAACTTTGTGGAACATGCATATATTTGCTTACCATACTCGTTACATATGAAATATCTGGCCTGGAGCAGGGATATAGAAGCCATCCTACCAACCTCTGATACCTCCCAATCCCAATATCTTTAATCTGCTCATCATCAAAACCATTAATCCTATGCAAGGTTCAAAATATTGATACAATCCAATACACCGGTTGGGGCGTATCGGACTGTATCGAGTCTTGCTTCTTTTTTTTTTCTTTTATTTTTTTTTCCAACCTGGTTCAGAGGGGTCAGTTTAAGGCCCATCTACCCCCTGAACCAGGTCATACCCCGAAACACCCACTGTAGGGGCATATCAGGAAACCACCAGTATGATACATATTGGCTGTACGGCCCAATACATATCGAAATTTTGATCCTTGATCCTATGATTCTGATCAATAGGCATACAGCCGGTTTAACTCAAGCTTACTGGTCTCTTACAACAGGTCAAGGACATACTTATGTTGGGAAACGAAAGTCCCATGTCTCGACCTTGCTACCTCTATGCCTAAGAAATATCAAAGCTCACCAGATCTTTAGTTTCAAAATCCTGGTTTAAATACTTATTTAACACATCAATTTTTGCAAGATCATTACTAGTGAAGGCACACACTTCAAACTTCAAGGCTTTTAGCCTTTCAAAACTATGGATTCCCAACATTTAAAAACCATGTGCTTTATCAGATGTCTAGACAGCACACATGGGAGGAATTCTAGCCAACAAGGTCTCTTCTGTAGAACCCCACCTGAGGATCTTCCATCTTGATCATACTATTTCTGATGAAAAGAAATATATCATTGTTTTCTAATACTGATGTAGCTTTGATAATCATTTACAACTTTTTGTTGCATTTTCTCAGTGTTGGCCATGGAATCCCAAGCTGAGGCACTTAATCTGTTGACCACTGACGACCTTGAAGGAAAGGTAGTCCTTTTCCCTCATCGTTTTCTTTTGTTCTTCCCCTAAAGGATATTATTTTATGTTTATTCCTGTTACCTGTTTCTACCTGTGCTGATCTGTTATACACTTCAGCTAGAACTTGTTCACAATTTTTTTTTCTTTTTTTTTTTCTGCACATCCATAGCATCTATAGCAAAAAAAATTAATTTGATGAGATGATCCTGTCCATGCTAAAGGCAATCTATTTCCCACAGTTTGCTTTGCTAGAGAGCTCGTCAGTTGATGATGACTTTGCGAAGTTGAAGAAAGAACTGTCTGGAAGCTCTTTGGTACGTTTTATTATTCTTTTCGAGTAATGAGAAGGGAAGGGCAATATGACTGGGATCTGGGTTTCAGTCTTTATTACACACACCTTTTGGATGTGGTCCTTATAATGGCTGTGCCTGTTCTCTTCTATAATTGTCGTACGAGGACGTTATCTACTGTTTTATGCATGTTATTGTGCTCTTGTAGTGGTAACAAGTTCCATTTGATGTTTTTATTATTTTTATTTACAAGCATTATTATGTTTAATAATTATTAGTTAATGTAGGATACATTGCTGCAAGAAAATAATTTGGAAATGATATGATATTAAACCAAATTACAAGTGGATTTAGGTTTTTACAAGGTTGTAGTTTCAATGCAACAATTAGAGAACTACCATTTCTTTGAATTGGTTATGATTGACTCTGATATTGGAACCATTGAACTTGTGTATATGTTTTTAATTTTTCCTTTTTCTTTTTTATTTCTTCCAATGTGCTATTTTCAATAGAAAGGAGAGCTTCCACCTGGTAGAGCAGCTGTTAGCAGCACAAATGCAGGATTTCCCATTCGAGATACAGAGATTGAGAAGGAACTTAATGAACTGAGGAGAAAGACCAAGGAATTATAAATTTAGCACTGGTTACATTGAAAGAAACCTTGCACTAATGGCTATTATATACATGAAAAATGGTTGTAAAGTTAAGATCTTGAGTTCATTTAGAAATTGAAGTTGGCGGATGGAAAATTATTGTCGATGCATGAAAGGGAGGAGCAAATTAAAATGAATTGGGTGATGTATAGTGTGTCCCACACATTCAGAGACGAGGTGGTTTTGTATTTCCAAAAGTTCTTATTTTGTTATATCCACATGGGTCATCTGGTGTAAATATAATGAATTATGCTTTAGTCTAGATATTTTCAGCATTCTAATTAGACATAATTTGTTTGTGTCGTGTCTTTCTTTTCCTTATTTCTTTTTCACCTAAATTTCCAGACCCATCACCCAGGTAGAGACGGCATTCAGTCCAAGTCTCCCCTGCACCCAGCCAGACATACCAAAAAGCCAGTTGGCACCAGTTGTATATTTAAATTTAACTGAAATAGAGGAAAAGATAAATTAGTATAATTTTGTAAATAAATTATTTAAAAGAAAATCAATTATTTAATAACAAATTAAAAATAAATTTCAATAGTTGTTCAAAAATAAACAAGGTTTTCAAAACCAAACCGAACAACGAACCAGGCAGGGGTCTGGTTCCCGGGTCGAATGGTCCGACTGTTCGAACCGAACAGATGGTCCGTTTTGACAAAAAATAAAAAAATAAAAACAAGCCAAACTGTTCAACTGTTCGAACTTTTTGACCGCCTGGGTCAGTGGTTTGTTGACCAAATCAACGATTTTTGGGGGAAATAGCGGTTCTGGGGTAAAACGGAACCGGTCATCCTGGTTTTTTTTGGCTGACCGTCCGGTCTGGTCCGGTTTCGAAAATCATGAAAATACACAAATGTAATAAATTTTCCAAAATATTCATAAAAGTAAAGTTAATACAAATTAACACATGTTTATTAATAAAACAACAAAAAGTAAGAAAACTTTAGTTTCAAAATTAATAGATATTATTAACTTTCAAAAAAATTTAATAGATATTATAAAATAGAATAATAATTACAACTATTATTATACTAATAATAAAAACATTATTTCACTTATCTAATTTAAAAAAATAAATTTCAGTTTTAAAATTATTTTAAAATTAGAAGGAATCATATTTTAAAATGATGAGGCAAGGCATTGATTATTTGATTATGATGATGACATGCTATGATTATTGGGAGAATGATTGATAGCCCTTGGGTCAGAATTTGTAGGTTTAAAGTAGATTTGGGGTAGGTGCCAGCTTGGAATTGATGCTAATTCATTGACGGGTATGAGTGCGAGTGTGATTTTTGGACTTTCTGAATGTTTATAGCTTTGCAGTGAGAATCTATATTAGACTTGTCCGTACTTTTCCGATTTTTTTTGACCAAATTGACCCAACATCAAGTCTTCTCGTTTATTCGCAGCTTCTCTCGATCATTGCTCCAAATAGTATCCATCTTATACTGCTGTTGGATCAGGTGTTGCAACCAGTTTGCCTCTGAATTGACGGTCGAGATCTTGCTATAGCGCCCACACCACGTAGGCTCGGTAGGCAGACTGTATCTTGACAGCCGCGACAAATTCAAGGTCGTCAACGGGAGCTTGAGCTTGGGGAGGAGAACTGACGGTTACCGGCAGAGGGGTTTGGAGGGTGACTCAGTTAGAATTTCAACGATTTTGGGTCTAATGGAGGGGCATTTTAATAATTTCTGTTGATATTAGTGACCGTGGTGGTTGCGTACAAGGAAGAGAATCGTGCTTTGAGAGAGGGTGTTATGCGCCTTATTAGAATTCACCCCTAAAAGTTAACTGTAATATTCCATCACGCTCCGTAGTCCCGGCACCCATGCAGGCTGACTTTGCATAGCCCATCTATTCCTGGTCAAACACTGAAATACTGATGTCACCACCTGCATTGTACGGTTGCAACTGGGAAGCATAGTGTAGAAAGCTAGTTGTTAGAAGGAGGGAATCCAAGCACATATATACCCCAAAACAGCATCCCATACTATCAATATGGGATACTTCACATTAGCATTCCTTACTACCAACATGGGACAAATGGATCATAATAGAGGGCTTCAGTTACTCTAACTAAAGATGATGAAGTTGAAGCTTGGGAATGGATGTTTCCCTTGGTGCATTTTGTGCGAATGTGTCTCCAAAAGAACTAGGTGATGTCATATAAGGGACTCATCCTTAAATGGAAGGGGCTTTTATAGTTCAGTCCACCTCAGAAATCTGATCCCCACCATATAGGTCAGATGAATCCTACTTGTGGATTGATGCCAAATTTACACATCAATCCACGGGCAGGATGCGGTGTATGGGGGGGGGGGGGAGCTACTAGTAGATTAGGAGGAGGCTGAAATTTCAGATTTCTGAGGTGGATTGCAGTCCACTTATCCCTAAGGGGGCGTTCTTTTTTCAGATTTTGAGAGGGGGGAAGTTGGTCAATGGGATTTTGGTCCCATTGGCCAAGAATACCATGAGAGGGTGGTCGAATCATCGACCCGTTGATCCGTTTAACGATATTTTATCTTTTTATTTTTAATTATTTTTTAATTTATTTGTTAGAACGGGTCATCCGTTCGAACTGGACAATTGGACTGCCGACCTAAAAACCGGTGGCCAATACAATTCTATTTCTGAGTCGTTTTTTAAAACGTTGTATGGGAGAAAGGAAATTTGGGATCGTTTTGGGGCTAACGGGACAAGCTAATGGACGTCCCATTAACCCCGCACGCAAGAATGCCCCATTGCATGCAACTAGACATGTGGCAATCACACGTTATGTGGAACGACAGGCAGTGGGGCGGAGATGCGAACTCACAGAAAAGTGGTTTGCACTCTCAACCTGCTTCAGACACAGAAAAACGAACTGAAAAAGGCAATTCATCTTCGAAAAACAGAGAATTGACTTTCTCAAATTAATCAGTCAATCTGCAAAAAAGTGCCTGAACAAGAAAATGGTCTTATGAGATTGACGAATCTGAGAACAGAATAAATAAATGAACAAGAAGACAAACGGACAACTCTATAAATCTCTGAAAACATAACAAATTAGGGATTCACGTTCTGAGCTCGAATTTGTAGAGAACCAAACAAATAGCAACAAAGACATTGGATGTCTTTGATCTTCTTCTACTCTAGCCTAAATTAATAACAACAAAATAAATAAAATAAAACGTGATTCGGGAGAAAATTATTTGAAGTAGCTATTCAACTTGTGAAGGCTTGCTTGAAGAATGTGGAGAGGAAACTCAGAGATTTCATATGCTTATTGTTTAATTTGTTTTTCCTCACAAAGTTTTCTCTCTTATGTCAACCGATTGGAACCGTGAAATATGGGGACCGGATCTATTAGGCACAATATATAAGCATATTCAATGAGCACTTGATAAAAATATTCTAACAGCTGTAAAAAGTGGTATTTAATCTTTTTCAAAGGTAGGCTGAGTGTATTTTAAAGGACTGGTGTGGTCTAAAAATGAGCAAAGTTTTACAAAGTTTTTTCTCTTATGTTAACTGATCTACTAGGCACAATATCGGAACCGTTGGCATGTGACGGTTTGAATTCGAGAAGTGTGACGAGAAAAGTAAAATTTTATATCGATTTTATTGATATAGTATTTACATCGATAATCGATGTAAAGCTCTGCTTTACATGAAGTTTTATGTCGTAAATTCCACTAGTCTATTAAAATGTATGTAAAGCCGAATTAGAGTCAAGTTTTACGTTGATCTTGATTTACACTCCTTCCAAACACCAACAAAACCAAACCGGCATAAATATCCGAACAGACGTTCAACTATTTCAAAAAACAAAAAAAAAAACGACCAAGATGGCAGCTTTCATTCTTTAACTGGACTTGAACCGGTTTAACACTAACTAATCTATTGATCGATTGATGTATTTTTCGGATTTTGTTTTGATTTTCTTCATTCTTTGCAATTTGTTTCCAATTCATTCTTTGTCCATAGTCCCCGCGATGGATCCAATGTTTCTCTCTAGATTTTCGTCTCTAAGCTCCACACTCTGATTTTTGGTAACCGCCTCTTCTTTCTTGAGTTAAAAGATTTCAATTTTGTAATATTAATTCCTCCCTTGGCTTCATTTTGTTTGTTTCTTTCTATGGTTATGTACGATCCTCTAGATAATGTTTTTGATAATGGACGTAAAATACTTCCCAGGTAAAATTGGTTTCATGTTTCATGAAAAGAGCTGACTTTTGCATCTTGTGCTTTATTATATGTTTACTGGTGGAATTCATGCATCTGTGGTTATTGGCATCTCTCCTATATGATTTGATTTACAATTATATAGGCTCCATTTAGTGTGTTTTTTTAGAAGTCAGGCAGCCCGTGTCTTCGTTTTTTCCCGTTTGGTTGGGAAAAGATACAGTCGTTAAAGGACATCACGCCAAAAAAATGTTTAAAGTCTGTTTTAGACAATTTTCGAAAAATTCCAAGTGGAGCTTTTCAGTTTTTTTTTTGTTTAATTCATCTTCGCATGGAAAGACACGCTTTGACCAAACAATCTTCAGGCTATCAAGATCTTAATGCAATAGCTCACTATGTAAAAGCTTTCAAAAAGAACTTGCCAAACAGCCTCGTAGGCTCATCAAAATGTAACTCTATGCAAGCAGGTTCTTACAAAAGTTGTAGAAGAGATCGCAAATTTCTTAATTAATTTTAAAGAGAATCAAGAGAAAACTGCAGAAGAAATGAAAGAAATTTGATGAGTGGGTTCTTATGCTAGAGAGTCTATTGGTGAGGCCTCCTCAATGGGTAAAAGTGAAGAGACACAAGGAAATGTGTCCAGTGGAGCTGATACCACTTCAAGTGAAGGGATGAGAGATCTACCGTATGGACGCCCAAATCTTGCGGAATTAGGTGGGCGAATTTCAAAAATTTTTCTCTCCCTTCAATTGGGAATCGCATTCCTATTTGGAAAATCATATTTTCAAGGATCAATCTTGAACCATAAACTGAATCAGATTTGAACAAAAGACAGTAGGAGAAGATTATACATGATACGGAGAAATAATATCTCCCAACGAAGTTATTCACACCCAAGGAAGGATCCAAAGATTGCTCCCACTGAAGATGGCGCAGTGTAGGGTGGAGCAGAATCAGTAGTGTTCTCTCCAAGAACCTAATCCTTCGCAAGAAGTAGAAGAATGGCACGTGAGCACAACTTCCTATCAGTTCCTTCACAAGAAACTGATATCAATATCAAATCTTGATTTCTCCCACTGAAAAGAAGGTCG